TTTATGGGTTGGCTGCTGTTGGTATCCTGAAAGAAATGAGGTGTTCCAAAACCACTTGCCCAAAAAAAACACTAGTGGAGACATGAGGTATGTTCCCTACTGCGAGGGGAAATGAGGTATGTACCCCCAAAACAGTCAAAACCTGATCTTCAACAGATGTGGATGATGTTGGCCCCAAACTGGAAGTGCAATCCAGTGGAGGTACCCCTATTTGGATGATCTGGGGAGAAGCAACATATCGAATAACCCTAGTTGTAAGGGTACACGCTGGAATCTTGTTCTTCTTCCCAGGCACCCATTGGCAACTCACGTTGTCAGTTGAGAGGTGGATGCTGTCAAAACATGGGGTCTAATTGGATATATGCGCGTGGCTCAAAATTAAACAGAAGCAGATAAGCAGGTTTTGGTCCATGGTTCCACTTACCAGGGTTCCAATTTGGGTACAGGCTTTTTGAGCCACCGCCATATGTTTCCAGTTCCTGCGCAGTCCCAATGTGGATGGCCCGAAGCCCAGCCTAGGATGGTTTCCACCCCGGACGCCAGGGAAAAGGGGAATGCGGCTGGGGAAATGAGTTGGAATCGGACCATAAACTTTCAAGCGGCTTCGGCTTCCTGGGGAAACCATCCAAACAAGATTTCCGGTGTTTAGTTTTTTGTTTTAAGGAATCAGTCCACCCACTGGCATTTCCTTGTGGAAAACAAGCTTGCAACCCTGTTGCCTTGGAAAGTGGGTCTACCGATGCACGAAATCCTTAGAAACCCTGGAGGGAAGACTCTTCCTGTAAATACCGCTTCCCAGTGGTGCAGGATTTTGTCCATCCACGGTATGGGGCTGTCTTTTTGTGATGGTTGCCGTTTGGGGTTGGTCCAAAGAGAAACGAAAGGAAATACACATTTGTTTTCGGGTCCCCCTATTTGAGACATACCCATATTGAACTCAGTGGTCAAGTAAGGACTGTCAAGTAGGTTAAGGATGTTCGTCCTATTCTCAAGGAGATACCAGGAAAATAACCGTACACGGCTGCTTTCCCAGCTACACCTCTCCTTGGAGTTGATTTGCACGCGCCAACAATATTCTCAGCGCCCCCAAAAGGCATCCAGATTGCTTCCGATCGGTCGCCAGCATCCAGACATAAAAGCTCGCTATTGGAACATGGACTATGGACCAAAAAAAGGCAAACCAAAAGCTCAGATCCGGTCGGCTGGGGTAGCTGAGATTAACACGGACCCTAAAAAAGCCAAACCATCATAGGTTCACCAGTTTAGCAAACACTTATCCATATGATCAACGGCATGAGAGCCCGCAAGGTCGCATGCTTCTCCAGTATGTGTCAAAAAAGTGGGGGCACCAACAGTTGTGGCCTTCAAACCAAATGAAACCAAGCAACGAGCCACCCTCAAACAACCACACACCCAAATGGGTCTACCCGGTTTTGCTTGTTTTTAGAGGTAAAGCAAAAGGAAAACCCGCCATTGTGGTGCTACAAGCAACTACAGGGGCATTATGAGAAGGTCTTTGATGATTGCTAGATAAGTGTTTGTTGATTGCTAAATGAGTCCTCTTGGGGGGCGGTGCGTATCCCGAGTGGCCACGTTGGTGATGGACAAACATACCGGCACGAAGGCTGCATACCTGCCAGAGTGTAAACAACTCGAAACATATCTATTGGAAAATCCTAACTACAGTGGATGTCCTAACTGCTGCAAGATACCAGGAAAACTTCAGATACCCCACAGTGGATGTCCTACATGCTGTATTATTCCAGGGACACCTCAGATACCCTTCGGTGGAGGTCCTACATGCTGCAAGATACCAGGGAAGCGTCAGATACCACACAGTGGATGTCCTCTGCTGCGACATCAGATACCACACTGTGGATGTCCTACATGTTGTAAGGTACCATGCAAACCGCAGGTAAATGTCCTACGTGCTGTACGACACCAGGGAAACTGCAAATACCCTACGGCCTACGGAGGATGCCCTACACGCAGCAAGATACCAGGAAAACCTCACTCCTACATGCTGCGAGATACCAGGGAAACATCAGATACCCCACGGTGGATGTCCTAAATTCCGTAAGATACCCTACATGATGTAAGATATCAGGCCAAGCTCAGATACCCTGCAGTGATGTCCTACATGCTGCAAGATACCAGGGAAGCGTCAGATAAAGCACAGTGGATGTCCTACATGCTACGAGATACCAGAAAAACATCAGACACCTCACAGTGGGTGTCCCAACTGCTGTAAGATACCAGGGAAACCGCTGATACCCTACAGTGGACATCCCAGAAGCTGCAAGATACCAGAGAAACCTCAGATACCCTACAGTGGATGTCCTAAATGCTGTAACATATCAGGGACAGCTCCAAATTTACCCTGAATCACATAAGATTTGTGGTCGAGCAAGCCGTATAAACAAATCACGCATCCCATCCACACTCTGAAAGTGTCCAGGACCTTCCCCAAAACGCAGATCCGTTTTGCCCGACGGGCAAAACACATATTGACTTTGTGCATCCGTTTCTGACTTCCCAAGGATTGGCCAGAAAAGGCCAAACTTTCTGCTTACCACTAAGGTGGCTCAACCCCAAAAAACTAACCAAACCCAAGCCATCTGGGTAATAGATACCCACATTTACCCTCAAAATGGGTGAAATGTTGGTAAAAAGTTTATGGATCGTCCAACAAGTAACCAAAGTCCAAAACGGGTCTCGTTGGAAGCTCACCAGGAAGTGGCTTGGCCAAACAAAGCAACTCAATGTTTTATTCACCCCTAGAATGGTCGTCTTCCCAAAAAGTGACTCAAGTCCGAGTTCCGGAAGGCAGGAGTGAGACAGGTCCAAACCCCAAAAGTGACTCGTGAAATCCCATGTTTCGAGGCTATCTTACTTCCATTTGCTTTCCGCCTGGAAAAAGTAAGAAAACATCTGTCCAGTGAAATCGATTCCATTTGAAACCCGCAGCAAATACTTCTCCAAACGAAAGCACATCTTCCAACCACTAAACCAACTAAAGCCAACCAAAGTCTACTCAAGTCACGGAACTTCAGTGAGGCCCTGAGTCCGAGCTGAGCGGCAGCCCGAAGACGCAGGCATAGCCCACCAGCTCCGAAGCCATCTCCGTGGAGTTGTCTGCCCGAAGCTCGCTCCAGCCTCGCGCCCGCGAGGCACCCAGCGCGTGTCCAAGGCTGGCATACATCACCCAGATGCCCTAGATGCCCTAGCCGCCCGAGAGGCCTCACCTGAGGCCTTTGAAAGGTTCATGTTCAGGCTCCTGGGGATGGATCTTCTTTTTTAGGGCCGGGAAGCCCTTGAACAACATAAGTTCGGTAGTCTTAAAGGCATCCAAATGCATACGTAAGTCCAGATACTGCTTACTCCCCAGATTCGCAGTTGCCCGAGTGGCTCCCCCCTGTTGGTAGAGTGGATTTGAGGGAGTAGTGGGTTAACTGGAAACCCAACTACTAAACCAACTGAAACCAACTAAAACCGACTAAAACCAACTAAAAACCAAAGGAATGGGACGGCAGGGCAGCACCAAGGTCCCAGTTGCCCCCTGAAAAACCAAGTAAAGAGGACAATTTGGGACTCCGAAACCAAAAAAATAAACAAAAAATGGGGTAGTTGTGGGATTCACTGTCTGTCTCTCAGGGAATATACTAACCCAACCCAAAGCGACAGGAAACGAACGACCAGAAACCGAGGCAAACAGCGTCCCCCGATGAACATGGTTGTGGACATGGTGGAAAATAGCCGTGCCGGTTCTGAGTAGGGAATAACCCACAGGGATTTGCGAATGTCCCTTAAGGAAAAGCACAAGGTTTGTTTATAGGGGTCATTCCCTCATTCCCCCGCTGAGCACCGGAAAGTGAGGAAAACCAT